GCCCAGGCCAGGAGAAGAGTAGGAATTAAACTTAACGTAGTAATAAAATGCAGCCTTCTCTGTGAATGGCTTGTTCCAATTTACTGTACAAAGTGTGTTCGTGTGTATTATATTATTTTAGGCTTCACAAACAACCAGATGAGGTGGCTCAGGAAGTATTAGTACCTTAATTTCAAATGTGTAAGAAATTTCAGGAAAGTCTGAGAGACAGTGTGATTCACCCTCGTGAATAGTGAGCTGGGGTGCAGGCTTGGGTGTCCTGTTTTTAAGAACAGAGCTTGTTCTCATAGCTCTGTGATCTTTATGGAGGTTCCAGGGGATGCTAAGGCAAGAGGGCTGCAGAGGTGAGCAGAACTCGCTTCCTTCCCTTCCCCCTTGTCCTCTGGACGCATCCTCATGATACCAGACGCGTTCCCATGGAAATCACTTACCAATGGCAGCCTGTTCAGAAACACAGCAGTGATTATCTGCAGTTTGGTTGGGTCTTTGCACTCGTAATGCCTTGACTCCTTCCTTTAAAGGGATCCCAGTTTAACACAGTCCTTTTTGTCTTAATAATTGTCTGACCAGACTTTCATTTATTTAGCCCTCCCTCTTTTTTTTTTTTAATCCTCACCCTAGGATATGTTTACTGATTTTAGAGAGAGAGAAACGGAGAGAGAGAGGAGAGGGAAACATCAATATGAAAGAGAAACATAAACTGTACATACCTGAACTGAGGATCAAATCTGCAGCCTAGGTATGCGCCCTGGCCCGGGATCAAAACCCACAACACTTTGGTGTTCAAGACGATGCTCCAGCTACCTGAGCCGCCCAGCCAGGGCACCTTCCCTCTTTTTTTAATGTCTCCCTCTCATCCATCTATTCCTACTGTGTGCTGCTGAATTTGGCCAGTGCCAAATTAAGTTTTATTCTTAGCCTGAGTAAGAAATTACACAAGGTATAAAGCCTGGCCAACAAAGGACCCATCCTATCAGTGCAATTTAAGATTTCAAGTTCACACACAAGTCACTCCTTCCCAGCATGTTTTTGTCCTGAGAAATCCCAGAGAGCAGAATTCTCGGGTGGACTAGGCAGCACTTTTCTCACAAGAGCAGCAGTATTCATAAGAAAGTGGTCAAATGGTGCTTGAAATTTTGCAGAAAGATCAGTGAGAAACCAGTGCTAGGCTACAAATCCACAGCTCAGCTCTTTTTAGCATCCATGGCAATAGCCTGCTGTTTTCCCAGGTGGCTCGGAATGAGACAGGGAACTGCAGTGGGCCATTTGTCACTGCCCCAGGTGCAATATTCATACCAATTGGTACATGCAGCCTGCAAAGTCCACTCCTGCCCATGTCTGGATCGAGGCCTCTGGGCTTCCTTTTCACTGACATTGGGGAGAATGTGCTCCCCTCTGCTCCTCCACGTGACTAGATGATTCAGTTTACTCTTCTGGTGCTGGAACCAACTCAGTGCTTCCCACCATGATCAGAGGTGCCTACGCTCTGTGTGATTCCTCCCACTCTGTTTTCAACTCAAGACACAGCTCTTTGAGAAGTATGGGGACTCACTATGCCAGTCTTAGTATCTCAAGGTAATTCTACTGTGTGATGATCAATGGGTATGACGTGTCCTTCAGTGAATGCTGGACTGGAGTCTCATTTCAGTCAGGTCCTAAGTTGGGTTCAGGTTTCTGCGGAGATGCACAAGGGAAAGAACCAGGGTTTGCTTGACGACAAGACAAAGTAGAGGAGCCTTCTGTTCCTTTATGCCCAACACAGTACCTGGCACCTGATGTGAATGGAATAAATTGATCAGAGGGTTGATGACATCCCTTCTGTCTTTGAGAAGAGAAATGAACTGAAGTGTATCACCCAGAGTGAAATTACAGATATAAAATAAGATGAAAGGAAACTCTTCTGGAATTATTTTAAAGACATTTGTAAATTTAGGTACTACATTTAGAACTACTTCCTTTGATGAGGACTTAGTCTGGGTTATAAGTAAATGAACTTGAAAGACATTATGCATCCGAGTGAGTCCCTTCACTGATTAGGGTAACCTAACTCCTGACACCCCTGGTCTCATTTTCTCACTCAGTGCATCCCTTCTCCACCTTCTTCCAATTCCATCAAGTGCAGGGAGGGAGTGTTTGGCCCTATGAGTTGGAATTATGCAAAACCCAAAAATAGACTCTTCAAAGTGCACCCAGACATAATGATTCCATGCAGCAAGAAGGTCACTGTGTCTGCTTTTCCTGCCAAGACACCCCTGGCTCTTAATCTATGGCTGCCTTGTGAAGCAAGAGAGCTGTGCCAGGAAGTTACACTCTGTGACTGTGAGGCATTATGAGAATGTAAAATCATGTCAATGGGGTTTTATAAGGGCAAGCCAGGGGAGGGGGATTAGACACAGTTTTAGAAAGACAGTCTCTGAACATCCTTTTTTCTGTGGCCTGAGAGCTACTGTAACTAAGTTTAAAAATTAAAAAAAAATAAAAAACAGAAAAAGCTATCTGGCCCCAGCTGCAAATCAACTCCACCCCACCAATTCTGCCAAAAATTAAAAAGACAGCCACTCTCAAAATTTACTGTGATTATCTGTGTGGAGGGATTATGAGTTAGTTTTATTGTTTTCTTTGTGCCTTTCTGTAGTTTCCATAGCATATGCCTCTTGCTTCTGCAATGTTAAAATAAAAAAAGGTGCAACAACTTCTACTTAAAAAAGCAAAACTATACTAGCAGATTATCTGTTTGTGTTCCTTGAATGATCAGAAGCTGGTGGGTGAGAGGTCCAGCAAAGTCCTGACAATGGCGTGGAAGGGGCAGCCCTGACTCTGCCCCCAAGTCAGGCCTCTCCCCGCTATGAGGTTCCAAAGACTCCTGGGAGAGGCCAGACCACAGACCCTAAGAGGATGCATGGTAGCCAAGGAGCACAGGAAAGGGAGCATACTGAGCCAGACACCTCAGTAACAAGGAAGAGATTCCATTCTCATTCAGTTGTCTCTGGTGGATAGGCCTGCTTGACATGTGCTTGTTGGAAGGGATGGTGTCAGCTCAGTTAAACTACAAATACTGTATTATCATCCTGTGAATGTCCAGTTGATGCACATTGTTTTGGAAATTGGAAAAATCCCATTTTTCAGACCTATAGGAGTCTAGTAAAGCATAATAAGTAGAGACAAATATCGGGGAGCAACAATCTTTTGAAGAATTCCAAAAATCCACTTGAGGTTGTGGGGAGGATTTATTGGGTTGATCAGAAAATTTGTAGGTTTTTTTTCAGTAAAAACAGAAGACATATGTTTCATTTTCACCAATAACTTTATTGATTTGGATATTTTGAGTATGTTGACTATTTCCCGCATGGTAGGATGTTTATTGTTCTCAGTTAATGTGTCAACTTTATCACTAACAACTTCAACTGGTCTACACAACTGTGAAACATTGTTAGGGGAGAAATCTCCAGCACAAAACTTCGCAAACCAGTTTTGACACATTTGATCAGTCACAGCACCTTTTCCATACACCACAAATCTTTGTGTTTCAGTTGCATTTTTATCTTTCTTAAAATAATAAATCATAACATGCTGAAAATTTGCATATCTTCTTCCATCTTCAATATAAAAATGACTAACAAAAATTCACCAATTTTGATAAGAGTTTTTAAATGCATGCTGATATTGACAGCTGTCACAATACATTCTAACAAAATTGTTTCAAAGGTAGTTACAGACAACTAAGCACTACTAGAGCCATCTAATGGAAAAAAAGAAACGAACTTTTTGACCAACCCAATACATAGACTTGGGGCCTTGACCATCCAGACTGGTATTGACTATGAACTCAGTCTGTCAACCAGTCTTGCCTCTATCTATACCATGTAGAGCTCAGGAGCCTGAAGCAAGCAGACTGGGCAGAAATGGCCTGTATGGACTGTGAAACTGTGTCATCCCATCTCACCTTTAGACATAAATAATTCCTCCTGCAAGTTTGTGTAAAGCCCTCTATTTCTTACACATCACATGCAGACTTAGTATCGAATGTAGTGGGGTTCTTCACTCCAGGAGGCCTGACTGCTTTGAATTTGAGGTCAAATTCAAGCCCACACTACACAGATCAGAAACAGAATTCCTAGCAGTCTGCATGATAGACCATGTGTAGGGAGGTAAGACTGTCATTAAGATGGATTCTTTTTAATAGGCAGCAGAGATCTCATTGATCAGTTTCTTCCATTCTCCTGTATGTTCCCTTATGATGATGCAGTGTCCATTGATTTTAGGCAGTACATAAATAAAACTCAATACCAGTGTATTTATTATAATGTCCATTAGGGAAAAATTTAACAAGATCATCCAACTCATCCTTTCATGAATAACTTTACTTAAGGCTAAAATAGGTTAAATTTTTAAAGGAAGTTAATTTTCAAGACATATGTAGATAATTGTGCTGTGAACACAGATATGGCAAAAGTCAGAATGGCGGTACATTTCATTGAGTGATTCGTGTTTGGCAAGTATTGCCCTACACGGTGCTACTTGGCCAGATTTGTTTGTTTGTTTTTTTTCTTTCTCTCTTTTTTAAATCTCAGTATCTCGGAATGAAGCTGCATGGACAATAAATTGCTTACAAGAAAAAATAGCTGTGATTGGTAATAATGACTCTAGTAACTTTTAGAGAGTGTCAACAAAGACTTAAGGCTTCTCCAGTGCAGAGCGGGAAAAGCACTTATCTTCTCTTCAGATCTGGCTTTAGAGCCATCATTCTCTCCCCTGTCCCAGAACAGGGATCCTAAATGTTTATGTACACTGACATGTTCACTGCCTTGTTCATAACTGCTGTTTCTTGTGGGTCCTGTGTGTGTGCACATGCATATGAAATGGTAACAAGATAATGGGCCACCTCTAGGCTACCCCTGTTATTTATATTAAATAATGACATGATGATGTCGGTAGCCTGTAATTCTCCATTTCCTATTAACCACCCTACCCAAGTAAACTGTTTTTCTGATCTCTCTTAGATGGAAATCCTGTATGAATGTGGAAGCCATTAGCAGAGTAATTGCTGTCTGTTACCATGACAACCAGCCGCTGCAGTCACCTGCCCGAAGTGCTGCCAGACTGCACCAGCTCGGCTGTGCCTGTAGTGAAGACGGTGGAGGACTGTGGCAGCCTAGTGAATGGGCAGCCACAGTATGTCATGCAAGTTTCGGCCAAGGACGGGCAGTTGCTGTCAACAGTAGTGCGGACTCTTGCCACCCAGAGGTAGTACCACAATTAAAATTAAAATAAATGAATGTGTAATTGATCCAAAGGACTCTTTGTCAGATGAAAAATGCTAAAGAGAATGTAATTAGTGCTCAGGTCTTTGTGTCAGGTGAGAGGAGGTATCAGGGCGGGGGGCGGGGGGAAAGACTACACAAGTTCTGTTTCTATAGCAATAGGGTATAAAACTAAAATTCACTTTGTCCAGTTTTCCACTTAAAGTCACACTTGCAGAGAGCCAGGCAGGGAAGGATCCCACAAGACACCGAGTCCCTTGCTTTACATTTATTTTGACATTGCAACGGTAGTTACACTCACTGTCTCCAGGCACTAACAAAGGTAATCCTTTGTTAGAATGAAGGAGGCACCTGATTTCATGTGACTGAGCCAAATGATTGGATTCGTGGGCAAAACTTTTGAAGTGATATTCCTGGTGTGCATGCCAGTCCGCACTGCCTGATAGGAGCAGTGGCCAGGGCCACTTCCTGGGCAGGCCTCTTCTCTGGTACATCCCCATTTGGCTGCTTCTTCCATTGCTTCCTCTTTTGCTCCTCATGGGCCCCCACCCATGATCCTTCATACACACCCTGCCCTGTGAAGTGTACTATTGTTAAACCCCCACAGCTTGTCTTCTCTGAGTGATGAACCCAAGCAAAGCTAAAGGCTTTCAACAGCCCAGAGATGGCTTAGCCAGGCCAGCACTTTGTCCCTGGACATCTCTTCTTGTGCTGTTGCTGCCCAGTGGCAGACTGACAGCTACAGGCTGCCTGGCCAATGAGTACACTTTGACTTCTCCAGCTTTCTCTCAAAATGAGTAAGTGGGACTTTGACCTGTGAACATAACATGTACATCAGCACTGGACTTGCCTCCTGATATCAGCACTGACACTTCTGACCCTGAAATTTGGGTCAGTCACTCAGGCCTTGACCGCTTACTTTGGTCTGAGCAATTAAGCCAAGCTATGCAGCAGACACAACTCCACAGATCTGAACTCGTGCCTGCAGCAGAACTGCTGGGGGCACCTCCACATTTTCTGTTGCCCCAGCCCAGCTGTGGTGTCTGCCAGACATGGACTCACACACCCATGTATGTTACACACATTGTCCATGTACTTTCAATCTGTGCTGCGAGCGCAAAGGGGAGAAATAGGGGGTTGGGCAAAGTCAATATATATTTCTCCACCTCTTGAGACGCTTCTAACAATTGGTTAGGACTCAGAGTACCAAGAGACAGTGAGCATCATTGCTCATCTGTGAACCGAGACAGATAACTGATGTGCACCTGTCGCCCTTGCGGCCATCAAACACCTTGGTTGATCAGGAAAAAACAGGCCACAGAGCTAAAATGATTTTGACTTGTGAAACAATGTGCTTTCCCACGCACGTGACATTTTTATGTGTTCTCCTACCACATAGGAATGTAAACTGGAAGCTTTTAAAATTTTGCATGCAGGTGACTCCATGTGAATGAAGGAGGCCAGAAATAATGAGAGAAAACTGTCAACTCTTTAAACTTTCTTTTCCTGCCCCTCAGCATGGATAGGTCTTTGGTCAAGTGAGAGGGAGGGCCTTTTTTCTTTCTTAATCCCCTTTTAGCCTTCACTCATTCTCAGGATCATCTCCAGAAAGGCCAATAGGAAACAGCCATGTTTCCATGTGGACCAAAGTTGGTGTCAGAGAGGGGCAGGCATGAGCTTGGGTTACTGTCATCTTTGGGGGACTGGAGAAGGCAGGTGAGAGGGAGTAAAGAGGTTGGTCCTTGAGTTGGCACATACAATGATGACATATTATAAAATCTAATGCCCAATAAAGGAGAGCTCGAGCAATATAAGAAAAAAGAAAGAAGAAGAACACTAGAGCAGAAAAGAATAGTCCTCTCTCATAGGACACAGTACACACTAAGAAGCAAGGTCATCTTCATTTGACCCTCCCATTGGCCACTGATTTATGGCCATGTTACTTCATTTTCCCTGACGTAAATTTTTCCTCTAGTGAAAATAGTTAGCCTTAACTTGGCATTTACTACATGCCAGTAGCCTAAGGTTCTAATCTGGACTATCTTTTCTCATTCTCACAATCACCATATGAGGAAGGCACCATTCTTTGTACCCATTTTAGAGATGAGAAAACTAAAGCACAGAAAGATGGTGTTACTTGTCCAAAGCTAGCCAGCTGGTAAGCAGCAGAGCTGGCGTTCAAGCCCAGGCAGCTGGACTCCAGAGCATGCCACATGAACCACTCTACCGGGTACCTTCACCAAACGTGCAAAGCTGTAGATGGAGGCATCCTTGGTAAAACGTGCTCATCACTCGCTTTCAGCTTAGTGTCCTTGGCATCCCAGAGAGCATCCAAGGAAAGTTCAAAGGACCAACCTGCCACTCAGCCTTGTGTTGTGGGTTGGACACCACTTCTGCTTGGTGGTTTCAGGGTTCACGGCCAGTTAACTTCCCCCTTTTCATCTCCCACCCTATTGAAAGCAGAAATGAAAGGAAGTGGTGGGTATTGAAAAGTGTCCTGGCCAGGTTCAAAAAACACAATTTATCTAGAAATTACAATTGGTGTCATTTTGAAACAATTTCTTTTCTTAATGGCAAGGGATAGTTCTTATTTTTTTAGTTGGTGGTTTGCCTGAATTATGTCTGTACCCAAGGCAAAAATAACATGCTGCTTGTTCTCACTCACTTTTGGTCCTGTGCCACTCACTGTGTCTTCGTATTGGCAAAAGTGGATGTGCAAGAACTGTGGCACTGGCTTCCATTGCCAAGTACAAGTGTAGATGTAGGATTTTAAAGCAGGCGTCTTTTCTGAGCAGCTGCCACTGGGGAGGGTCTGAAGGACACAGAGCCAGAGGGCCATCCCCATGGCAGTGGTTTCTAGCCCAGTAACCAGGAGGTCCCACTCCTTCTCTTGCAGCCCCTTCAATGACCGGCCAATGTGCAGGATCTGCCATGAGGGCAGCAGCCAAGAGGACTTGCTCTCTCCATGTGAATGCACGGGGACCTTGGGGACGATTCATCGGAGCTGCCTGGAGCACTGGCTGTCATCCTCAAACACCAGCTACTGTGAACTCTGCCACTTCAGGTTTGCAGTCGAGCGCAAACCCAGACCGTTAGTGGAGGTCAGTAATTAGGGCATGTCCTGAAAACTTAGCTCTAATGAGCAAATGATGTCTGCTTTTATGACCAGATCTCAAACCCTGTGCAGCTTCACTAACGTGCGGTAATAGCTCAGTGTGAGAGTGTGGGTGTGCGAGTGTGGGTGTGCACCTACATGTGCATGCGCATGCGCGACACAGAGAGCGCTCACTAGCTTATGCAGGAGCAGCAGTAGAAAGTTGACCTCCACGAGGTGGAGACAGGAGGAGAAATTCTGGTGAGGAGAAGGGGAAGTTTAGAGACTTGATCTCCATTTTTCTATCCCGATGAAGTGGGGCAAGCAGATCACTTTCATCTTTGCACCCCATCTGCCCATCTTGAAGCAGCAGATCAATGGGCATATTCTGAGAGGTCTCATGAAAAAATATGACTGCATAGTGGTTTGAATAGTTCTGTGACCTTAGCTGTGACCTTATCTCCCCTTTTGGAAGTACTATGAGGATTAAATGAGTTAACGTTTATAAAGCACTTAGAAGAATACTGGATACACATATAAGTGCTTGCATAAGGAAAGAAAATATCTCCTTGGAAGTTATACACAGGTTTTTTTCAACTAATAACTTAATATTAGAACCTCTCTTCTTAAAGTGTGGTGTTGTCTACCAGCCATTGAAATGGCAGGACATTCTCTTTTATGTTTTAGGAGCCACGTGATTCTTCTTTAGACCAAGGGTCTGGTGTTGAATTAGCTGGGGGAATTGAAAGATATCATTGGACTATTTTTTGCCTCCTCTACTACCTTCAATTTCTACTAGTCAATTAAAAATTGTATCTTGGCAATAATAAATATTTTTATACTTTATGAAAGAGACCCAAGAATTGTGCCTATAATCCAGACTTGCTGACCTCCTCCTTATTTCAACAGCTGACCCAACCAAACTTTGGCTTTAAACTGAAGCTGGAAATCATGAAGTCCTGCTGGGAGACTATTTAAAACAGCGTGTTAGCGCCTCGGCACTTAAGGCTCTGGAGAGCTCTGTGGATATATATATTCTCTTGGGTTTGACCTTGAAATTTTAATCAGGACCTGTGACTGAGGCCTGTTTTAGCTATGACTTGTTTGCCAAATGGCACAAATTTATTTGACTTCCCCCAATAAACTCTTTGCTTTTTTTAAGACTCTGGATCAAGTGACCTCTTAATTTAGCCATCTTGCTGCTTGACAGCCACTTTCAGAGATTTATATTTATAGAGTGCCCATCAGGGATTTGGCCCTTCGCCATGTTCACTGGGCATTCCATGTCAGAGCTTCTTGCAGAGGAGGAATCTAATTAAATAATAAACAAAGGAGATGCAGATTTCTCAAGCCCAATGGCAACAGTTAAAAAGAAGCCTATTTCTCCTTTCTAGAAACTTTTAGAACTTCCCCAATTTGATATGGCAGCTTCCCCGGGTGAGAAAGCCCTGCCTTAAATGGGCTGCATCTGGGGGGCTTCTGTACTAGTATCTCCCCAGTAAAGAGGATGTTTACTTTTGCTTGGTAAAAATCCCAGTGTATGAGTGGGGACAATATATAACAAAGGGTGTATGTGTGTGCACGCACCTTAGTTTTTCTCAGGTTACACCCATCGTATCACCCAGTGAACCCATTGCCTCTCAGAGAGGGAAGGGCACCCACACACAGATGTTTCTTCAGAGTTGCCTATGTCAGGCCACAGACAGGCTCCAAGGTCTTAGGCAACTGTCATTAAACGAGGAAACAAGGCAAATGACCCTGCGTATGTGTGAGGTGCTCTACAAGATTTAGCGCTTGGCCTGCAAAAGCTTGACCCAAACGGTCGCCAGTGGTGAAATTTCCATTGCACAAATGGAATGTGACATTTTTCAGAGTTAATGATGATTGAACAAGTTGAAAGTGAAAGGCAAACCTTCCCGAGCCGGGGGAGGCTGGTCGTTTGATCATACCATGGTGAAATGAACTTGCTGTTTGACCACAAGCAATAAAAAGAGGTTGTCTTTGGTTTCTCAGCTAGGGGACAAATGAGAACCAGGTGCAGGGAGATTTTTAAACAGATGACATTACTAATTGACTCTTCCCCTTACCAAGGGAGGGTTTATTTATAGTGAACATTGCTTCTCAATACATTTACCTCTAGATAAACATGAATCTTTTTAGTAAACCATCAAAACCTGCCAATTTGGGTTAAACATTGTAGGTGTTGTTACTTTGTTTCTCATTTTCACTCTTTTAATTGCTTTAATCATTACTTTATTTACCAGTTGGATCTGCCTTCTCATTAAAGCAAGAACATTCCATAACATTTAATTTTAAAATCGATCTGGTAATAACAGCTCCTGTTGCTAGAGGAAGCAGTCGAAAAAGTCATTTATAAATTTTATTTGTCACCCAGACTTTAACATTGGTCAGAATTACTTTAACACCTTAGACTCCCACTCTTCAGTAAACTCAGTCCTTCATTCAACATAGCCTTTTATCCTCCTTAACAACACTGTTCTGAAGACATTTCTCCTTCACTTCCTTTCCCTCACTCTCTGCAGCCAGCAGTAGATGTTCATTTTTAACAGGTTAGGACCCCAGAGCTGGAGACCATGGGCTTCTACATAAAGTCTTTCCACCCCCTCCCCACAAAAGGGTGAGTTTCTATTTATAATGGCCAATCGATGGGCTGGTTTTTATTAGCACCTCCAAATTGAGCATCACCTCTCCACTTTACCACTGATCACCTGGGTGAGGTAGCTCAGTTTCTCTGAGCTGCACTATGAAGGAAGTTGATCTAGGAGCTCTCCCTGATATTTTTGGTCTCTGTGAGGTTGTATAAGGCTAAAGGTCAAGGCTAAAAAGTTCTTGTGCAAAAAAATTCACTCTGTCCTTAAAATGATACATTGCATGGAATATAGTTTATACCTCAGTAAGTTGATTGTGTGTGTTTGTGCATGTGTGTGTGTGTCTACTTGCCTGCCTCCCTACATGGCCAGGTTACATCTTTCAGTCTCTTTTGGTAATTTCATTGCCAATTTTATACCCTAAATATTTTCTTGTTGTTAAGTAAGCCACTATAACAAGAGCTAGTTTCAACCCAAGAGCTCCATTGCAATCATCTGGTTTATTCAGCCATGGGTAAATTTCCTCAACAGTCCAGCTAATATAAATCTTGTAAGGCCTGTGTCCAGTCAGGTAAAGCTTGAAAGGAAAAGTATTCAGACAGTACATAGCAAGAAAGAAGAGCAGATATAACATGTGTGTTTTCCGCCTACACAGCTTGCATTTCTCTTATGAAGGCTCCATATTTCTTGTTGATGATGTGGCCATTTGTGAGATGAATTAGCCCCAAGCATAATGACCTGGTAAAATATTGTCCACAGACATCCACTAACCATAAAAGGATGCCCCGAATGACCAGCCTGGGTGGTTTTATGGTCTCCTTCCTGCTCATTTTTAGTTTTTCTCATTTCTCTTTAAGTTGAACTTTGATACCACTCTTTTATAACAGCAAAATAGAGCAAACCAATAAAAATACCATGACTTGCTTCCCAAAATTGGACGCCTTGTCGCCAGCCTGTGGCCAGGATTGCACATCTGATTGAGCAGTTTGCCAAGGAAGTGCATCTTACCATGTGCACATAGCGTGCTTGCAACATCAGTTTCTGGTGATGGGAGTATCTGCTACTGGCTTTCCTAAGACATGTATCAGTAACACCCAGCCTTGCCCAGCAAACTCATGAAGTAATAGACCAGCTCCACAGTGTCCTGATTAAAATGAAACAGCCAGGAAATGGTGGGAATCTGCAGAAAGGCTCCCCAGGATCTGCTCCTGCTCCAATCAGGGAGACACGGTGGTTTGTCACAGAGGGAGTGATTAGGCTTTCGTATTTCTATTTCCTTTACGCAAACCCAGCTAACTGATAAGAATTGTATGAACAATGTAAAAGCTGTTCCTTGTGAATCAGAGCTTTAGCTGAATTGAAATTGAGAGTGTTTGCACACATGTCAGTTACTCAGAATAATGGGATGTAAAGCCAGGGAGATGGGGATTAGGGGTTTTTTCAGACTTTTTATTTATGATTTTTTTTTTTGTAAGTCACTGGGAGAAAATGGTCCTGAAGTGTGCCCTGCATTCAGTGTAATCTCCAGCAGCACAGCAGGGAGCAGAGTGGCCCTGCTGTGGGGAAAGCACTTAGGACCTTGGACTTGCTATTTAATAGATTTAAGACTTCACTTAAACCCTCCTAATACGTACATATCAGACTTAGGTGGGGACATCGCTCAACTCTCATTGCCGTGGGTTTTGTTTTGTTTTAATATGTTAATTTAAGTTAAAATATGAGCTTTTGCTTTCAGAGTATTCCTTTTTATCAGCAAGCCCTTGCACCATTGGCGTAATTAAAGAATGACACCACTGGGTATATAAACTGACTTGAGAAGCTTCCCAGGTGTGAGGACCCCCTATTATTCCATCCCTCAAAGGAAAGCAGGCAAGCTCTCATCTTCACTCTAACTCGTGGGTGCAGCCCAGTGAGTGAGGCAGCTAGAACATAATCACAGCGTGGGATAGGCGATCAAGAAGCACCTGTTCATTAAATGAATGGATGGAGAACCTCCCCTCCCCCAACTGCAAGCCATGTATCTTAGTCTTGGCCTATGGCTGTAAATCAAAAAACTCACCCCTTGCCCTTAAAGTTTAAGATAGACTTGGCTGGACAAGGGCTTTATGTAATACAAACCAGCAATGCAGGAAATGTGGTGATTCTGACCAATTCTGTCTCCCACCTAGTCTCCCATCAGCCTTCAATCCGGTTTTAAGGAATGGCGGGTGGTAGGAGCCCTCTGCGCACCAGTGAGGAGAGCATGTGTGCCTCATGGCTTGGCAGGGCAAAGTTAGAGAAGTGTGGCTGGGGGTGGAGCAAATCAGGCCAGATCAGGAAGATTCAGGCCCAGATAGTATTTGTCAAGCATTTAGGAATCCAAGCACTGTGCAAGAAAACACTTCATGACAGTCTTGGG